GCCACCCAGAGGCAGTCCAGGACCATGTCCAGGTGGTTCTTGAGCACCTCCAAGGGCAGTCCAAGGCCAATCCCTCTGGACAGTCTGGGCCAGCCCTGGGGCACCCTGGCAGTGAAAAATTGCCTCCTGATGTTCACAGTGACCCTCCTGTGTTTCAGTTTGTGCCTACTGCTTCTGGTCCTGTCACTGGGCACCGCTTGGCTCCAGCTTCTTTACACCCCTCCCTTCAGGAATGCATATATAAGAAACCCCACCTTGTGGGGATCAAAAGCTTATTTAAAAAAAAAATAAATAAAAATCTGTATAGTCATATCACATATTTGTGTTTCCCACTTTTAGGGAGTAAAAAGGATGATTTCTTGCTATAAAGTTAAGAAAAAATCCCAAAACTGCAGATTGAAAGATGTTTTCCAGCCTGTCCCATGTGCTTTTCTTTCCTCACACACAAGATTTTAAATTCCCAAAACACTGTAAGAATTTTTAATTTCTTCCTATGCCATGTAGCAACTGTGTACAGAAACCAAAGGAGAACAAGACGACTGACTGATCCCTAAGATGCCTTCCCTGTAGTTTTAAGTTAACTTGGAAATGCCTCACTCTGAGGTCTGCTATGGCCTGGAAGATTTCAGAATACACAAACTAAACAAGTATTCACTCACAACTTGAATGCAGTGTGATCAGCATCACAATGTAAAAACTAAGAGGCAAATTTTATCAGAAAGTAGCTCCAGAATTGTAAAATGGCAATTTGGGAAGTCTGGTCACCCTTCCATGAATGAGAAGGTAAACCTAGTTTTTCTGTTAAAACAGCTGAAGAGAATTCACTCCTGATGCCACCTGTACACACACAACAGGCTGATACACTGCCAACAAACAAACCTGTCTCACAAGAAAGGGAAGAGCATGCAAACACTCACCAACTTCCCCTGGAAGTTCCTCACCCAGCTGTAGTGTGTTTGGTCCTCTTAATTTACATTTAATGTGCTTGGGTTCATCAGGAATTGGTCTAGGTCAGAACACGAAAATTGATTTACAGTCATGCTCATGAAGGTAGTCACAGCACAGTAGCAGGCACAAAAAGCAGGCAGCAGTTATCACCCATTTGCAAATGGAATTCTAAAAATCATTTTGTTTTATCCTAGCATGTATATAGAGGATCAAGCCTCATGTGCACACAAGTCACACAGTAGCTGTCACCTCAGTCTTATCAGGGGCAGCTTATCAGACAAAATATTTGCTGACTTCTCAAGGACATGATTACAACTAACACAGCTTAAAATTTTTAGTGATAGTTTTTTTCCTTAAAAGCAAAACAAAACCAGAACAAAACATAAATAAGGAGAAGACAAACAACCTTAAAACCCAGTCAGATTTCCATGACCTCTTTTGCTCATCAGCTGAAATTATGCCAAACACTACTCTCTTAAAAGTAATTTCTTGGGTGCTTTTAAACAACTTGGCCTTTCCTTCTGTTCACCTGCCAAAGGTTAACACATGTCATGTGCTGGCCCCTCCAATATTTAAGAGTTATCTCTAAGTTACTGAAGATTTAAGGGTTATCCAACAAACATTTTGTACTCCTTTTGTGTGTTCTAAGCTAAAAATTACATTGAGATCTCTAAAAATCCCATTAGAATGGCCTCCAGTTATTTTTCATGACAACTACAGTAGAAACACCCCTAAATTGAAGTTCTCTGATCTGAGACTGCTTCTCAGTGACAAGGAAAAACACTGAGAGGGTCAACAGGCAACTCTGAGGTTCAGTTTCCATCCTGCCCCTTTTGGCTGAGACAGGGGAGGCATGCACCCAGTGTTTGGCTGGTTAAATGCTGTCTTTAGTTTCAAAGTAATAACCTCTGTAGGAGGAACAATTACCCTGGTAGTGATACTTCTCTTTGGTGAAGTGACCAAAGAGTGACCTGGCTCTTCAGTAAAACCCGTTATTACACCAGCTGATGTCTACTGAAAGTTTTGAAAGGCAGCAAGAGTCTTCTCCAGTGTGTGTGTGCTCACAGAAGTGCTCAGAGGGCTGGATACACCCAGCTCGTGATGGACCTTTCACATAGCTCATGTTCTCCTCTGCAAACAATTTGCACAGCCCCTCCCCACCTACATCCCCCTGATAATTTGCCAACTGTTATTTCAGCTTGGGTAGAAAGACTTTTTTTTCAGCCCAAAGTACAGAACTACAATCTTTGGCTAACAATATAATAAAAAGTATTTCAAATGAACCAACCTGACTGTGAACGCACTCTCCAAAGACACGTGGTCATCCAGGTAAGTAATTAGACAGTAACGTACATCTTTCACTGATGTTGGTATTTTTACATCAGGTAATAATCCCTGAATCAACTGTTCTTTGTTAATTTTAGGTGTCCAGTTAACCTAAAATTAAAATTTCTTAAATTAATCAAAAGCTCCATTATTAATGACTAGCTACACAGTACATCTGTGGTCATTCTACATCTGCTGAAGTAGCACACGGGCAATAGAAGCTCTCCTCTGCATTTCCCCACAGTGACCCAACACAGAAAAAGACTCAAAAAAAACCCCACAAAGCAAAACATACATTAGGTTTCCCTCAGTTATCTTGAATTGGGAAAGATTTGATTCTGAAAACCCTCACCAAGACCTGTGTCACACCTGGAGGAGTGCTACCTTTGTGTTAGGCTCCACATACACACACAGACAGAGGGATGAGGCAGGGAGAGCACATCCCGTGAAGGAACTTGTCTGTTCAAGGTTCTCAAACCCTGGGAAAACCCCAGAGCTGAAGGATCAGCACTATGTAGGAATTATTTTGTTGTGTTTAGGAGAAGCACTGGAATCTACTACCCTACTTTTCATAATACTACCCTAAGGCATTATTTAACATTTCATTGAATTACTTTATCTTATTGAAGACACAATTTTAATAAAATGATTTTTAAAAATTTCTTGAGCAGAGACTGAAGCTCTCATGTTTAATGACACAATCATGAGGAATGTTTTGGAGTCTGATGCCCATGGGCTTCAGGGGCTGAACACTGCACCTCTCCCCCGCATTGCGCTGCGGTTTGCTTGAGTGCTTGCCTTGATTCTTTCTGCCATGGCTGGAGTTATGTGGATCTCCCTTTCTGCTTCATCATACATCTGAAAGATGAGGTTGTGCATGACGTCGCCAGCAACCCAATTGATCTCATCCTGATGTTTAATTTGAATGGCTTTCTGGCCATCCATACTTAAGATCTGCAGTTTTGCAACGTGACTGCTAGGAAGAAGTTTAATGATCTTCTCCACTGCTGGCACATCTTTACAATTCTATACACAGAGGGGAAATAAAAAAAATAATTAAGATATTAAATATACATAAAAAACACTCCATAATAGCCTGTGGCACTACCCCATCATCAGGCTTATGGTAACTTGGAAGAGGAACTTCCAAGGATTAAGCTCGTTCATAAAAGACTCCAGTACACTACCGAGGCAGCACAAGAAACTGTTTTCCATCTTTTGTTCATCCCAATCAATACTTACAAGTATTTCAATCCTTGCTTTCAGGATCTGGTCTTTCTTGATATTCTGTACATGTATAGCTGGACCAGTTAAAATGTTTGTTCCTGCATTGCTGCAGTCCACAGAATACACAGGGAGGTTTGAAGCACCTAAAAACTATTTAAAATGTAAAATTAAACTTCAGGTTTCTTTTACAGAACTACTAAGGTTATCCCAGAAATTATTATTTGTAAAGGTCTGAATACAAAGAACATCATTTACAGGTAAATTTGACAGGTTTCAGTTTTCCAGAAGCCAGCAAGATCAATAACCTATACATTTTGCAGGCAGATGTGTAGGAGGAAGGAAGAAATCGGAGAAGTGCCATATTCTATCTATTCAGTTGTTTTGTATTAACACAGGAACAGTAGTCACTTTTGTCATTATGGCAAGAAATTCCACTAAGCTGTTAAATAAACATCCTTTTTGCTATTTATCTAAAGATGACATACTAAACAGAATTTAAATTTCAAGGTCAGCATGTCACCAGACTACTGCCAACCCAGCCTAGAGGAAGAGAACGTACACATCTGAAGTGTAAATGGAACAGTCTATTTTGCAGTGGGAGAAACATTTTTATTTCTTTACCTGTTCTGGCTGGAACAGGAATTTCCCCAGAATTGGAAAAGTCACTTTTCCTGAGTCAAAAAAAAAAGTCCAAAAGGGCAACAGTTTTTTACTTCTAAAAGCCACAATGACACCTGCATTCCCTTCCAAACTTAGATAATAGTCTTAGCTAATATTATTTTTAGGGTCTAGATTTGCATTTGCATCCTAAAAACAAAAAATAAATCATAAGTAAGCTGTGTGAAGTAAGCTGTGTGAACAAATTTTAGCATTGTACATGGTAAATATGACCTAAAATATCCTAAAATTACAGTTATATATCCTCATGTAATTTTCTGTTTCTAAGGCCAGGTTCCTCCAATTTTGAAACTTGTGGGATGACTCAAAATAGATGAGGCAAAAGAGTCACAGTTGTGGCTCCCAAGCTGCTGAAGCTTCAAAAGCATTATTAAAGGTCATAAATTCTACCCTGATGCCAAGAGAGGCTCTTTTCCCAGGCTCTAGAGAGCAGGTGTCAAAGTCCTTCTGGCACGGGACAAACGCAGGTTACCTTGCAGTGCACAATCAGCTTTGGCTGGGCTGTTATGTTCCCTGACTCATCCAGCACTTCCACCTGGAAGGGGAAAGCTGTCCCATTCTCAATCTTCAGGACTTCAGAATCTGGTTTCACTTTCAACTGACGAGGGGGGCCTGGAAAAATGCACAATTGCAGAACAGTGCTTAGGTTTTGGAGAAAATGGGTTTCAGATTTTGCTATCTCAGGAAGTTTTTAAATCAAGCTACCAAGTTACTTGTGGTAAGAAATGCCTCAGACCAGGGCAGGTGTATTGGTTTATGCTGAGAGGTTCTGGACACTTCTTGTCCTTCTAGACATATCACCTGCTGGTCTTCAGAATGCATGCAGTGAGGCACAGTGAGACAAGGTGATGAACTGCAGCAGACAGGGTGTAAGCTGCACTACATGGTGTGGTGCTATTTACACACTGTAACAACTCACACGCATCAGAAACGCTTGGAGCTTTCTCCTCACCTTGGAACCAAAGATCTGAATGTTGAGATAATCTGATCAGTGGTGATGTGCAGGAGTTTAATGACCAAAGCCACCACAACTACACCTTGCAGACAAGGAAAAGCCACAGAGAAGTCTGTTGGCAGTCCCTGGACAGTAAAGTGAGGCTGTTCAAGTTAAGTCTACCCACAGAACACATGATTATTTTATCAGTTTTAGAACAGAGAAGGAAGAGAGAGACTCCCATTAAAAGACAAGTTCTGAAGGAACAAAGAAGGCCATTTTTCAGAAACAACCTTTATGTATCATTCATTAAACCTTCCATTCCAGACTGACTGGCTGAAGAACAGGTGAGACAGAAATAGCTTTTATTCACTCCTTCCTCAAAAAACAGCTTTCAAAGCCAAGGGTAAGTTCAACGAGAAGAAAGAGGTGGTGCTGCAGCTCTACACTGCCAAAAGCTGGAGATTCTGACAAAGGATGAAGTTGCCTTGGGTCCAAGGTGGGTAAGTAAGCAATACACAAAACATCTGCCTCAGGTCAGACCCTTCCCCTCCATTTTCTGCAGAAGCTTCAGCTCCTCAGAAGAGCAATAACAGAATAAACTGCACTGCTGCTCTAATGACACCTGAGGGACACGAGTTCTCTGCAAGGTGAGATGGGAAAGCCCAAAGTTTGGTAATCTGGGGGGACAAAAATCAGTCCTTAAAGTATACCTTACCCCTAAATCCAGAAAAAGCAAGGTAACAAGGGATACCAGGGACCCCAGTGGCCAGAGCCTCCCCCCTGTGCTGGGGTTAGAAACCAGAGGGACACTTGGTCATTACGAGGTGGTTTCCACAGGGGGAACAGCTCAGTGCACATCAGCAGAGGGTAAGGGGCTTAAAGCTGAAGAAAATCAAGGGGGAGAAATTTGTTCATTCAATGGTACTAGGCTAGAAAAAGATTTAAAATAATTTAAAAAAAAGTACTGACCAATCAGTCTCAAGTAAGCAGTCAAACTGCAGCTGCTAGAATAACAGGCAGGACTGGGCTGTGAGGTTGATGTTACTCCTGCCAAGAATGACATGCCCTTGGCTTTATTTAGTTTCAGCCATCACTTAGGTGAGTGAGAACATCCTTTTTTATGCCTCCCTAAATATTTTACTTTCTTGGGAAAAGAAGTACTTCATTAATTGTGTCAGAATGTTCAACAGAAATTCATGAAATGTTTTACAGATACTTACCAGGCAGCACCCTTATTTTAAAGATCTGTGTGTCTTCTTTCAAACCAGGAAGAGTAACCTTCAGATTAAAGTTCTAATGGAGAGAACATTTTAAATATTAACCTTAAACAAAACCAGACCATAGGTTATCTCACAGAGTCATGCCAATTCATAGATACATGTATTTCAGAAGTCTGTCCACATTTTCTTCCTTGCTATAGAAGTCAACGGTTTTTTTCCTGTTTTTTTTTTTTTTTGTCATTATTCCCAGAGATCTTCAATCCAGGTCCTGCAGGTAAAACTACACAGCTCTGAAGCCACTAACAGCAGCTATCATAACTTGTGGTTCCCTGCTTAGAGGCTGGTGTCAGCCCACACCAGGCAGCTGTAAAGGAAGGGTTTGCAAGTCCTGTGTTCCTCACTGGTTTGCTGGCTGCCTGAAGCAAGGCAGCCCCACGACCATGGTCTGGGAGCAGGGCCTGAGGACCCAGCTGCTGCTGGGCTGCCCTGCTGAGTCTGAGCTTCACCTTTGCCCCAGGGAAGGAAGCAGCTGGGTCAGCAGCCCTGAAAGCTCTGACTGCACAAAGCCAGGGGGGCTGCAGGGTGGGAGTCTCATCTTCACACGCTTGCTGTTGAGTATAGCTGTCAGCCCCAGCAAACACACAAGTGTGGGGAAAAGAAAGGAAGAGTAAGGCAGGCAGTAACACCAGCAGCACCCAGCCTAGCTGAGAGCTGCTGTTTAATGTGACTGAGCTGAATTCTTCAGCAGTTCATTCAGTCAAGCTTTGTGTTCATGCATGTGGCCGTAGGAAAGACCAACTGCCCCAGGCAGAGCTGCTGGAGAGCATTTGAAAACATCCCCAGAAATACCTGCAGTCATTAGTGTAGACACAACTTAGGTAACACTATGTGACAACCCATTTTACACAAAAATGATTTGCTCTGTGGTTTCAAGTTTAAATTCACACACCTACCTTGCCTTGGCAACTATTTATACAGCCTTTAGCAGTGACACCCTTGATCATGTACTTTGCTCCTGGAGTTATTGTCTGATAGTGCACTGTCAATCCACTAGAAAAACAGACAGAAAACAAATCAGAATCCATGTAAAAAATAAACACAGTGCTTTAATATACAAGTCCCTTTTAGATATTTTTTTGAAAATAAAAGCTAAAATGCAAAAACGCCAGTGAATTCACATGAAAAGGACCCACTCAGACAGACCCCAGAGAATTACTTTACTAGCCTCATACGATGAAAGGACTGAAAAAACAGCAACAAAAACATGGAAGATGAGAGGGTTGACTTACCTAGCTTCAAGAATTGGTAATGTCTCATTTGTCAGCTGTGTTGCATGACCAAATTCATCCTGCAGTTCCAAAGGAATATTAAAAGGTACTCCAATCCGGAAAGGAAGCTCCAAAAGCCCAACTGAGAATCTCTCTGGTTTGCCCTCTAGGAGAAAAGAATAATACATTTTTAGAAGGAATTACCCTTGTGTGTTTATTGACTTTTCCTTAATTAAGGCTGCAATCAAATCAAGTGTTTTTCAGCCTCGAGGTAAGGAAGCTGTTCAGAATACTGTTGTACCCTAAATCATGGTGAATTGATTGATCCTCTTTTTTTAACTTACACTAAGATAAACCCAATAGTTACAGTAGTAGTAGACTGTGGTGTAAGAAACATGACAGGACAACCAAACTTCCCAGCCTACTCAGAACATCAACACAGCACCTGGAAGCTGGCAAGTTCCTTGTGGACGGCTCTTCTTCAACATTTACTGGCTTTAATTCTATTAAAACCATTCATGCAACAAAACATTTTTTTTCTACACCTATCCAAAAATTTGAGAGGTAAAAATTATTTATTGGTTGTCACAACAATAAAAACACCTCAAATTTACCGTGGTTACAGTTCTGTCTACAAATGAATGATAAAACCATAAAATGATTTAATAAACTAACAGTAAAAGAACTCCTGCACTGTCAAAGGGAACAGCCACCAAAAGAACATGTCTGAACCACAACCACAATGCTTGGAGATTGACTTGTTCAGTTTTAACCAGTATTTATGATGAATTTTTAGTTTTTACCAGGTGTAAACACCCAGCAACAACCTGCTGTCAGAGAAGCAGTTTGTTTCTAAGCCAAAAAACCTGTTGATTTCTGTTTAGATTTCAGTTGTTCTTTTCTGGAGCTTTAGAACCTAGATACATAAAAGGTCACACAAACATTAATGCTTTGGAAGAATGAGAGGAAGGATTTATGGCTGCCTCAGAGAGCACAAACCATTGCAAAAACACAGACTGGAAATACTTGTGAAAGCTGAAGGTATTAAAAATGCCAGATTATCTTCTGACTGGATAGGAAAGCAGCAGCAGATAGCAAAAGGTGCTTCTGGTGCCCCCTGTGCTCTTTGGCTTTTTCCAGTGTCCATTCCTTCCTGAGGAGATGTGTTGATCTCCACCACTGGAGCTGAAGGACCTTCAGCTGCAGGCTGCTGTGCTGGGGAAAGCCACACCACCACTGAAAGGCAGTTTCTGAAATCCAGGAGGCAACCAGGCAGATCCTTCTCTTGCTTCGTTAAACAAACCTTGTCTGCTCCTTCATCTCCCCATCTATTCAGTCAGACTCCCCCTCTCTTCCTGGGACCTCACAGAAGTGTCTCCAGACTTCAGTGCCAGTTTAAATAATCACACTTCTCAAGTAATGCCAGACACTTTTCCTGTATTATCATACAAGAATGATTCTTTCTCTTCTGCCAGTAATACTTGAGCAGAACCTCTTAGAAGGATATGCTACAAAGAACTCTCTTCTGCCTAAAGGGTTTGCATGCAAAGCCCCTAGTTTTGTGGAAAAACAAGTAGGAAGCTACCAAAAGCATTTTTTTCCCTTGATCTTCTGGAAACAAATGTTAGCTCTACCTCCCAAACTCGTGAAGAAAATGTCCATTTTAATATCCAATGCAAAGGAAGTGGTGTTTCCTGTCTGCAAGAACCTCCCTGCCCCCTCTGCAGATAAAGCTCACTGAATGGTTGAGGTTGGCAGGGTCCTCTGGAAATCACTTTATCCAGCAGTTTTGGCTCAAGCAGGGCCACCCAGAGCAGGCTGCCCAGGACCACATCCAGACAGTTTTTTGAGTATTCCCAAGAATGGAGACTCCTGGGCAACTTGTTCCAGCGTTGGGTCACTCTCACAGTTAAAGTGTGTCTCCTGATCTTCCCAACGTCCAGCCTGTGCCCATTGCCTCTGTTCCTGTCACTGGGCACCCCTGGCAAGAGCCTGGCTCCATCTGCTTTATACTCTCCCTTCAAGTACTTATGGGTGTGCATGAGATCCCCAGGAATCTTCTCTGCACCAGGTGGAGGAGCCCCAGGTCTCCTGGTGTTTCTTCACACGAGAGATGCTCCAGGTCCTTCACCATCTTCATGGCCCTTTGCTGGGCTCTCCCCACCATGCCCACATCCCTGTGCACTCACACAGAGCTGGACCCAGTGCTCCAGGTGTGGCCTCAGCAGTGCTGAGAGGATGGATCACCTCCCTGGACCTGCTGGCAATGCCCCTCCCAGCTCAGCCAGAGATGCTGCTGCTGCTCTTCCAGCAGGCTCATGGTCACCTTGTTCACCAGGAGCCCCAGGTCATTTCCAGCAAAGCTGCTCTCCAGCTGGTTGGGTGCTATGCAGCCTCAGGTACAGACAACAGATCACTCCTTTGCCATTTAACAACTGAGTTTCACACTTCTGGACAGGAAGAGCAACTTCAAACTAGTCTACAGCTTTACCCTTCCTCGTAAATACATCCCTGCTTCCCTGGAAATGAACTCCTTCTAGCAAAATGGAATAAAATGTCTTCAGAGAAAGGCCTATAAACAAAAACTAACCAGCCACTAACAGATGAATACCCACAAATCAATTAGGAAATTAACAGCTTGGAGGAGAAGGGAAATGGGACTAGCAAGGCTGCACCAGAAACGTGCTGTGACTGTACATGGTACATCTTAACCCTTCAACAGGGCCATGAGAACTGGAATCCAGTAGTTTGCTGGGGAAGGTATGAGCAGTCCCACAGTATTTCAGGCCACATACATACAAACCAGAGTGTATGGGCAGAGAGAGTAACACCAGACATATTTAACAGCATTATTCCTATGGTGGTATTCCAGCAAGTATTTTATGATGATTAATCCAAGGATGCACAGCCATTATAGCTGCATGAGAACTTAGTTTTGCATAGGATTCCTTTTTTAATTTAAAAAAGAAAGAGGCCTCAATCTCAACATGTGTATTTTAAATGCATAACCTGTTTTTGAGTGAGTTTCTCTCTGTGGTTTCTGTACAAAACTCAGTCCAATCAATTCTGCTTCTATAGACTATTCATGCCAACGGCCTGAGGAAAAAGGGTGACTCCAATTAAGTAAAAGTTTAGTTTTACTAAGTACATTTAGAAGAGTTCACATCAGAGAATAGCTTTTGATTCAATCAACACTATTTTTTTGTAAAGCTGACTGTACAGCAAAGGCAACACATTACAGGGGGAATCAAAACCTATTAGACAAAACAATTATTTTTCCTGAAATGAGTTCATACTGGACATGCAAATGCTACTTTTCAGTGCTGAAAATTACCTCTCAATTAAAACATGAATAGTTTTGGCGTACAATGAACTAAGTGCAAACAATAAAAGTAGAAGAAAAATAGTATGACTGGAATTCTTACCCACAATAGTGAATTTAAATATTTTAGATGGCAGAGGCCTTCCTGCATAAGTGTCTGCATTGCTCTCGTTCAATACTACTTGCAGTTTCAAGGTGTAGTTCCCAAGTTTCTGAAGATTTTCTAAACAGAAATACACACAATTAGAAGGCAAAAAAACTAAAACACTAATAAACAAACTGAAAATACTGCAGGTGAACTTACCCATTTTTTTAAACCAGTAGGGCCATTTGCCTCCATGCTGACTGATATGGGAAATGATTTCTTTATTCCCAGTAGGTGCTGGAAAACAATCAGCCACATGCATTTAGAGCTTGCACTGTAACTCTTCATTTTTTCAATTATTACTATCACTCGTTATTAAGTGTTACTATCGCTTCTAAATCTAATAAATGTAAATTAATCTTCACAACTGATGATAACTAAGAAAACTAATTGCCTAGCTCACCCCTTTCCATTAAGAACTGTGAGCCTCAGGCTCGTTAAGCCAAAGCAGGACGTTTGTAAGCTGGGTTTTCTGAGCTCTTTGGTGGTGAGCTCCCTGCTGGGTGAAAGCTGTCTGGGGTTCCACACTGGGAACCCACTGATGGCTGGTGACAAGGGACCATGGCAAACAGGCTGCATGGGGGCACTGGTGGGAGTGTGCAGCTGAGCCTGCAGCACCCTGACTGCACCACGGGGGCCACGGAGATACCCTGTGCAGTCCCACAACACCTACACCAGCCCAAAGCAAAGACACTTCCCTCAGGTCTCCCTTGGCACTCACCACTACAGCAACCTCCCTGCTTCAGAAAGGTACTGTTGTAACTCTTACCAGACAAAGAATTCGGATTTTCCTACTGTATATGGAAAGAAATGAGCAAAGCAAGATCTTAATCTCTACACATTTCACATACACTCAGCTCGTGCAGGACTGGAGTTTGCAGTGTTTGGTGTTCCAGTTCTGTGTTCAACCCACAGCTGAGGAACTGCAGCTGCCTCGGGGGGAATGCAGCTCTTCAGCAAGTGTGATGTAAGGGTGTAAGTGAATGACCAAGAGGTGCCCACAAAATAGAAACCACAAAACCACAACTCACAAGAAACTTCTTTTTTTAAAATTCAGAAGTGACTTTTCATTGGCTCCTAACCACACCTGGCCCCTGCTTCATGCAGCCCAGGTAACTGCTGCACTCCCTACAGAACATCACCCATCCTGCCCACTCTCACACCAAGGAGGCAGCATGGGGCTGACGGGCCCTCTGCACCTGAGGGAGAGCAAAGCACTGGAGGTTGCACACCTCCCACTGAAGCTACTGGCACTTCATGAAGTGTGGCCCTGGAGTCCCATGTGCTCTGATATCGTCCTGACAATTCAGAGCTATATCCACTTACCTAATTCCAGTATGTATTTTTTATATCTATACAGCTATGTATATATACTCACACCTACAAGCAGAACTACATTATCCATTATGCCTTTTTTAAATAATCAAGACTCACTTAAATATACTGAAATACTTACAATGCAAAATAACCTTGAGTTCAACAAGAAGTTTCTTTGAACCTCCGTGGCTGGTCCCTGGAAGCTTTTGCATTGGTTCTCCTTTTTTATTCAAAATTTCTATTCTTAACGCTCCTGTATTAAAAAAACACAACAAAACCCAACAACTTTTAAAACACACTGTGTGTTGTAAGTGTCTGGATATTTCTGTATGCTGGGTATTTTTAACAAGAGTGTATAGTGTAATTTTAAATTGACACGTTGTGGTTTTAGTATTTAGAGGGGAAAAAAAATCTACCTATTGGTGTGCCAGCAAATCTTGTTTCATTTGGTAGCAGCTCATCTCCTTCAGGCCACGTCACTGATAATTTGTCAGGAAGTCTGGTGAAGAAGAAGGAATGAACAGTGGTTCTGTGAGTTAACAACCAGGGTAATTTATCTTTAGGGGAACATACATGAAGCTATTTTCTGGGGGAACCACCTCCCTGAACTACTACTACTTCTCAGTTTAGAGTTCTAGGGGGTTTGTTTCTGCTGAATTTCATGAAGAAATACCAAAACTGTTGTTAGGAACTTCACAAGTAAATAAGGACACCTCAGTGCTTACCTTGCCATTTCATCCTCTATGTATTTTTTCACAGTTTTGTCACACACTGTTCTGTCCAGTTTGGAGATGGGAATAGTTTTCACTTCAGCGTACAGTTCCCGGGGTTCCTGAAAGTAAATCCAGTGTGGTTATAAACAGCCAAACCATCCTGACTGAGAGCAGGAACACCTCTCTCCTGAGGGACTGGACAAGGGGACATCTGTGCCTGGGGGCTCCCCGAGACACTGCTCCAAAACGTGCTGAAATCCCAGGGGTTAAGAATGGGCACACCACACACTGCTGACACCAACTGTGACACTCTATTTCATGGGCAAATTTCCATAAATCTGATCACTGATCATGAATAATAATTTTAATGTATGTACACCAAAACTGATGTTTGATTATTGCTAGACTGCTGACTGAATCAAACTGATTTCTAGATTGCTGAATCTAAAATAATACTGTAACTTTCAACAGTTATTTAGAGGTCATCTAAGTAAGTCTGACCCAGGATTATGTCTAAGGATTCCATAGGCATACTAGGGGTGTGAATCCTTTTTATCTGTGTCTTACCAAAGCAATCTGAACCTCTCCTCCAGTGGCAAATATATCCCCATCGTGGTCTCCATACAAAAAAAACTTCTCAATACTACCGTAGAATATTGGAAGAGTCTTAACTGTTTTCACCTGCAAAGAGAAGACAGCGACTCCTGTCAGTTCATTACTTCTGGATCAGATGTACCCTTCTGGCCGTTTGTAGGGTTCAAACAGCCCATCACAGAACAAGATCAGCCCCCAGCCCCAGCAGGCAGCCGACCCACCAGCTGCCCGGTGCGGAAGGTCCTCCCGTCCCACTCGATGGCGGCGTACACCGTCCAGGGGCTCTGCATCCTCTTGGAGGGCAGGTCAGCACGTGTGGTCACCCCTTTGAACACCGTGAACTTGATCTGCTTGTCGTACTTCTCGTGGCAGTCTTTGAGCCACAAGGCAAATTCTCTGTCAATCTTCATTCGCTGCTCCTGGGAGGAGACTGTACATTACCCATGTGATACTAAACAATATGCTATTACTCATTACATATTATGAGGAGTACCTATTACTGATGTATTACAAAATTTAAACGTGACAACTTCAGAGGTATAAACACTTATAAGAGTACAGCAATGTTGTACTACAGAAAAACAAGAGCTCAAAACCACCACAACGTTCTAGGAAACTATGCTTCAAACCAAAGTGTTTCCTGCAGCACCCACATTCCTCTGTGAAGAGTGTCTTTGCATAAAAGTTGTCATTAACAACCAAATAAAGTTATCATTTGAGAATATAAAGGAGAAAAAGACTAAATCTTTTTTTTTTTTTCCAGATTTAAAGTGTCAGTTTTACTACTGAGTAAAACTGAAAGCACCACCTGCTAAAAGTTCTGCAAAAGTGCCCAAGGTGAAAGCCCTTCAGCAAGCAGGCAATACTCTGTGGTGTGAACAGCTGACCACGGAGTCAAGGCTTCTGTAGCACAGGCACTGAATTTTGCCCAGACAAAATACTAAACTGAACAAAATGATCACCTGCCCATTGAAGATTCTCGTGAACAGAGTGTTCTTATCTTTCAGCTTCAGCTCCAGATCCATGAAAGTGAGTTTGTTTGTGCTGACCTGGAACTTGTCGTTGGTAAATAGCGCACCAGAAATTCTGTTGTAGCACTCGATTGGTGCCAATCCTCTCTTCTTTGGGAGAGCACACCACTCGAAGCTTAGGACAGAGGAGAGAGACATTACAGCCCTTTCATAAAGAGGTCTGCATCACAGAAACAGGCTGGTGCTCGTTGGAGACACAGATTACCACTTACTCTTCCACAGTTGTGTAAGGTATTAATCTTCCGTTCCAAAAACACTCAAAAATAGGCCTCTTGCCTCGGGCACCCTTCTCCACTATAAAACAGTCGTCGTCGTCGTCATCATCGCTGAATTCTTGATTGAAAAGAAGACAGTTCCATGAATAAATTTCTTTAAAAACCTAATATAATACCCAAAATCAGAGCAGTCTAAATTAAGGTCTATCTAGACTCATTAAGTTAGGCACAGCAGCAGGACACATGATATCAGGCTAGGTATAGAAAAAAAACCCAAACTAATATTGCATGTTTAAGACATATTAAGCAGAAAAACTAAGGAAAGATTTAAAACAGGGATTGAACAACATTACCCAATCTAGCAAATTTAAAATTGGAATAAATATTACTTTTCTCCCTGAGTTAAAACTGATCTTTTAGTATCATAACATCTTATCATAATTAAAGTCAAGATTTATTTTGTCAAAAATAAATTAAAAAGAATAATCACCAAACACAAATGATTTTACATCTCCAGCATCTGAAAACTCACCAAGGTCAGATACAACTCATTTTAACTGAAGGACTTCAGAGAACACATTGTCCTCTGCAGTACTGCAAAGCTGGAATCTCTTGTCTCAGACTGCTGGGGTTCATTACTTTCTCAGAGCAAGATCCAGCAGTCAGGAGAGTGGGAGTGTTTCCATCAGACTCCACCCCAGAGGAGCACACAGTTTGAAAGCAGGTGGCAGCCTGTCAAAGCTCAGGGTCGCAGGAACTTGGTACCACAACAGCTTGTTTGTTCACCCAAAAGGGTGTGAACTCTCCTGTTCTGCCACGACCCAAAACAGGTAACCACTTACACGTCAGTGTAGATCAGTCTAGTTTCTAGTGGGCTAGAGCATTGAGAGGAGCAGGATTGCCTGTAACAGGGCTGGCAGTGTTTGACTCACTTGCTGGGAAGCAGGGATCGTCAGGGTACGTCTCCTTGTCGTAGAGGAAGGGGTGATAGCGGATGATCCCCTCCACTATCCCTTCTCCTTCCACGTGGGCCTTAAACTCAAAGCTATCTGCTGCAGTGTTGATATACAAGGTCTGCATGTCATCTTTGATCTCCCTAAGATTGACAATCTTTGGTACTTTTCCTTTTTCAAACATCGAAATCTGGAAAACAAATGAAACAGGTCCATTTTCCTTGCAGCAGAAAACCTGCAGGAATGAGCACGTGTCACAGCCTCTTAACTGTCAGCAGAATGAAGCAGCTCCTGTGCTGCAACGACAAACAGCAGTGCTTTTAATAAATTAATTTTAACTTATCTTAAAATGCTGCTGTAGTTCAAAACACTCGATTAAAGAGAGCAGGCACAACATGAAATCAGTTCCAGCAAAGGAGGATTTTGGCCACTACACACAAACCCCTTACCTGGATGTCGATGTTGTTGAAAGGGTCTTTTGATACAGCATTGGCTTCGTTGCCCTTGGGCCCGTGGATATAATAGTGATAGATATGTCTGGAATACATTTGAAATGAAAAATAAATCTCAGAAACTGAAATTTAAAAATAGCACATTAACATTACAATTTTCAAAAAATCTAAATTGGTATTTTTATTAAAATATAGCTGGTCCATTGCATGATTACAAATCAGCTATCTGGTACAGAAGATTTACTGAATGGAGTGACTCCTTTTCACTCCTCTCAACCCTCACCTTCTTCAAGAACAATCATATTAGGAGCAATTTTTTGATAAAATAATTTGAAACATTACAAATTACAAACAACACATAAGTGAAAAAAAGAACCAGGATTATGAGGTGGCTCGAGTGCCTTCCCATCAAAGGGCAAACTAACACAACTCCTGTCATTTACTCTGCACTCTGGAGCTTAAAGAAGAACTAGAGCCAGGAAGCTTTCTACTGTTGCTTTTGACATCGGCCGAGTATTGATCATCTAAAAGTAATAAAAACATTTAACAATCACTATCAATTTATTTACTAAAATACTCCCTTTGAATCCAGACAGCAGTCATGGGTGTGACCCACTGAGCAGAAATACTCTATTTGCAAACTTTCTTTTCTAATGGCACTAGTGCTTGTTTAAGAGATTGAAAAATCCACATGTTCAGATGGATCAGTGATTTCCAGCGAGCTCTGAGCACACTGCACACCAGAAGCCAGCTCAGGGAGCCACTGAATTCTTCCAGCTCCCCAGACTGAGCCCTTACACCTCGGGGTGGGGGTCTGCACAGAAGCCAGACGATGCCGGTCAGTGGGACAAGGTGTGAAGCTGAATGCACCTGCAGGGGTCTGTCACCCCTCTGCTGCCAGCAGCCCCTGCACCACCGCTCCCCACGAGAAGCCCTGCTGCCCAGAAGAAAGCTTCTCCCTGTCTCAGCACTCAGGACTCCAGAGCAGCCTGGTATGTCCAAACCACCTCGGGCGTTGTCTGCATCCCCTCCAGACCTCACCAGATGCCCTCACGGCCTTAGGACCCAATCATTTTGGGGGTTCATTTCCCCCGCTTCAATTCAGAGCGTGTGGAACCCCAGGATGGCCGTGCTGAGCCCAGCAGAGCAGCAGGAACCCGGGCCCACGTGTGTGGCTCCAGGGATGGTGGTGGGTGACGTGGGGAGTGCCAGGGGCAGAGGGCAGTGCTGCTCCAGCAGTGCAGCACTGGGCAGCTGTGTCTGGCTGGCTTGGCTGGGACAGCTACAGGGTGGACACCTGAACAATCACCCCTGGGCTCTGTCTCAAGTGGAGGCAGTTCCTTCCCTTCACTGAGATGAACCAACCCCTCAGTGTGGGGACTCACCACAAGAGCACACAGAACCTAACGAGGGACCCAAATTCTACACCAGAGTAGATGTCCTCCTGCATTTTCATGAGGATAAGGAGTGTTTCACCCAGAAGTGCTTACATGCAACAGCAGATGATGTTTCATGTCATCAGATACTATCCAATCCTTACACTAATCCTCATATTAAGTGATATCTATTATTATTAGATTACAGCTAATACAAAGATAAAATTATATCTTGAAAATCAAGTTCTGTGGGTTGCCAGCTTTCAAAATTGGGCCATGGCTTCATAGTTCAGTTTACATTCAGAGAGATCACCATCTTAGCAGGTAAGCCCAGACAATTCACAGGTGCCAGAGGCCTCCACAGCCCCACTGGGGACACTGCTGTGGCACCAAGTGGACATGACCCTGCACTGATCTCCTCCTTCAACTGCCATGAAGCATCAGCTTTTTACTTTAAAAAAAAATAAACCCAAAAAACTAAACACAAAGCTGAAAATCAAGGTAAGAAGCACAACTGTGAGGACAGCAACTTTTCCAGTTATTAATAATTAGGTATCTAATTATTGCATCAATATCTATTAAATGGGATAGGTTACTTAGAGTTCATTTGGACAATTTTGTCTCAATTACCAAGTCACACTAAAGCTGCTGTTTGTAAATCCCTTTGGATGGGGAGCCTCACTCAGTCATCTTAGTCTCCAGAAAATCAGTTAGTGAGAAGGACTAATTGTGGCATCAACAAAATAAACCTCAACAGTCTTAGCAGGAATAAAGCCAATGACTAAGCCCAAGCAGGAAATAATTAATAACTCATCACAGTAGCCCAGACTGAAGCCAGATCAGTTAAATCCCAGACTCACGCCAGCTGCCTTGTCCAGAGGTGGAAGTAGTTCTTCAAGTACTGCATGTGGTCGGGTTGTACGCCTGTGATGACCACTGCTGTGAAACTCTCCTTATCCCTTTCTTCTAATATTAGATTATGAAGAAATCTTTCATCATCACTTGTGATATGAGTAGAGTCACACGGCTACAAAAAGAGTAAAATAATAAGAGCAGGAA